CTAGATCAGCTGGAAGCGCCGCGGTCTGGCCCGGGTCCTGCGCCGCTTTGGTCCCCGTCTCCCTGGTCTGCTGGCTCCCGCAGCAGACCAGGGAGATGGGGAGCAGCTTTTCTCGCCCAGGAGGAGGCGGGGGGCGGGACCAGGCATCCCGCCGCTCCAGTCCTCCGGGGCGAGAAAATCTCCGTTCGTAACTGCGGATCCGACATAAGTCGGATCCGCGTAACTCGGGGACTGCCTGTACTGAGTATCATTTTCAAAAGTACCTTTAAATAATAAACTCATTTGCGTGTCCCATTAAGTATCAGTCCACCGCACTCCACCCAAAATGTTGATGAATGGCTGCCACTGCCTTTTCGCCAGCTACCCAGAAAATGTTATTCACTCTGACTGTCATCTTGGCACCTTTTTACAGCACAGTATTCTTGTGACATCTCCCCATACTCTCACTCAGGGTCAGCCAGCAATCCTGGCCAATACACAGATGGAAGGGTGGAAGGGAGGGGAGGAAGGGCAGCTATGGCTGAGCTAACTCTATTTCCTCCCCCCCTACCCCCAACTCAGCTGTTCCAAAGGAGATGCTTCAGCTGACCCTTCATTCAGACTCTTTGTTCAGATGGGCTGTTCAGACCCTTTGTTCCCTTGAGAGCTGGAGCTGCTATCTGAACAGTCATAACAAGGGGTGAATAATTTCCACTCCAATTCCCTGTATGGGCATGATAGCAAGGCACAATCTAGGCCTTAAGGTTTTGGCCATATGATTTCTGTTGATTTTTATTGAACAACTGAGTGGCTACATTAAACCCCTGCATCACTCTGAAAACCACTTTGCATTACTTCTTAAATTGCACTGTATCCGCAATACACATTAGCCCCTAGATAAGCCCAGGCTTCTGTCACTTTTTTGGGGGGCAGGAAGGGAGTAAGGACATGTTTTCATTGCTGCTTTGCTAATATTGTTTCATATCCATATTAAATATAACAGTGCTGTAAATATCTTATGTCACTTCCCATGGGTCTAGGTACTAATCCAAGTTAGATATGCAACTGACTCCCTGCTTTCAAAGCTTCGCTCTGGATCGTGGACATGGGCCTTCACAAATAAACGCTGAAGGTTTTTACAAACAGTGAACAGAGGCTACTGTAACCATCTCTGTTATTCATCATCAACTCCTTTACTTACTGAAATTCTGTAGACTTAGAAACTAGCCAAATGGTTTTCTTGGAGACACATAATCTATCCCCAAATAAGAGAGAAGTAATTAAAAAGGTTTTATAATTTGCCAAGAAGGGTAAAGATATTAATTATGTAGTAAAGAATTACCTATGTGTTCCTTTGTTGCCTTAAAAGATTAAAATAGTCTTCTCAAGCCAAACAAGTAAATCCAGGCAATGCACTTCTATATTGCAATTGTACCACTTCCTGTCAGATTGCAGAAAAAAACTCCAGATGAAATTCTGGCTCCGTTGATGTTAACAGCAAAACCCTCATTGACTTCAGTAGTAGGGACGTTAAAAGTGTTTTTAAAAAGTAACCATGTAACTGTTAAACATCTTAGCAGTTACAAAGTTACATGCGCTGCAGGCTCTACAGTATAAGGCTTATACTGTAGAATCAGCAGTGTAACCTGCTCCCCAGGAGCATGGCTGACAGCTGGTGCACACAAGCTGGGAGCTGGGACTATCAGAGCCTGCAGTGCGGGGTGGGGCATCCAGCTGTCTGGGAGCAGGGCTGGCAGCCAGAGCCACTGCGCACCAGCTTTTGGCCTGGCTCCTGTGGAGATGACTATGCTGCAGGCTCTGCAGTATCAGAGCCCGCTGTGCAGGGTGGCAGCCAGCTAAGCCAGTTCCTTGCATGCACCAGTTCCTGGCTGCTAGCCCCGGCTGCACTATGGGCTCTGCAAGAGTCTTATACTGCAGGGCTTGTAGCATGGGGTGGCAGCCAGCTCCCAGAAGCAAGACTGGTATCTGAGAGAAAGTGCATACTGGCAGAAGAGTTTAACTGCAAACAGAACCGATAAGCTGATGCTTATCGGTTAAACGGTTAAATGTGTAAACTCTTACATCCCTATTCAGTAGAGCAAGGATTTCACCATCTACGTTCTGTTCACAGGTGACTGGGTATAGAGACAAGACAGGCTAAAAGGTGAAGAATATATAAGATTAGCCAGACTACCTGAATAAAACACTGCTGTAATATGTAATTTAACATGAGGCATATTAATATTCTTAAGGGATCATAATATTCGAATATATACATGTGTTGAACCTAGGGATGCAAAATCCCATTAAAAATGTTAACAAGTTAAACTGTATGTTTGACTGGTTAACTGGCATGTGGCATGGCGGGCCCCCCTGGCCTGGTTGGGCAGAATCCGCCACACAGTGCCATAGACGGGGGCCAGTCTAACCGGGCGGGGTGCTGGTTAACCAGCTAGCTCAGTAAGCATATCAGTAAGGCAGTGCTTATCGGGTAACCAGTTAACTAGTTACCCCTTTACATTCCTAGTT